GATGGCAAAAGATCCAGGTGAGCTGCGAGCTTACAGATCGCAGCACGCAGTGAGCGGCGCAGATTCTGCAGCGTCGAGCAGGGCTCATAACCTGTTGAACCCGGGGGGGCGAAGGCCTCTCCCACGGGTGGCAACGACAGCGGATAGCCTGCAACTCACCTAGAAGGGTTGGTTGATTGTAAGAGGCTTGTAAGAGCGATGAGAGGAGATGTTCGAGTGAACTGAACTGTAGATTGGGGGTACAGAAGTCCCCTATATATACTACTGTACATCTGTGGCTACGTAGTACTATACAGTACCTTCCCAGGATGCACAGTCGCACAGAGAAGCAGTGCGTACACAGCAAAGCTGTGTGTGTACCACATGAGTAGTACAGCCTCGGTTATTGCAGTAACCGGCTGTGCCGTTCCATATCTTGTGACGGCTCTGATAGGCAAGCTGTGTAAACCAGCGCCTGTTCAACAGGTTCAACAGATCCCTCATACAGGCTGTGTTCTGGAGTGCGCAACCGATGCCCTCGAGCCTGTAGAGTCAACTCCCTCGTGTTGTGAACACACACTTCCAGTCCTAATGACCGGTCAACGCTCCTGGTCCCCGGTTGATGCGAGGGGCATTGTGCTCAGTTCGACGCGCCGCCGAAAACCCTGATTCACCGTCGAACCTCAGTGCGAGCGTGAGGTTTATCGCGCAGACATCGTGACGCCTGCGCTCCAATGAGGCATAAACATTGAAGTATGACTCGGGGTGGCGTTTTACACGCGATGGCCCGTTGCTACAGAAACACATTGATGTTATGAGTCTTTTGCTTCTATCTGCAAGACTACTCGCGGAACCGTTGCAGCAATTGCTCCAGAACCTCCCTAGGCTGGAAGCTGCCTCCGCAACAAATATGTACCTTCTCATCAATAGACGTCGCCAGACAGAAGAAATGTCACTCACCGGGTTTTCTGTCTGGGTAGAATCAACCTCCGACAAACTCGTCTCTGTGTCATCCGTGGCGGCCAAGCCACGCTTGGCCTCCTTGCCCGTAGTGTTTCCGGTATACCGGCCCGACCATCTTCGCGGTTTTGGACCGGTCAGGAGCGATGATACCAGGTCGTCCATGTGGTGATCAGAGAATGTGTCAAAGACGACGGGGTTGCGCAGGCTGAAATGGTCGTACAGCATAATGGGCCCAATTTTCTCCCCTGTGGCGTGCAAACTATGGAGAATGATGTCGTCGAGCCGCAGCCCCTGCTCGTGCCAAGCATGGGTGGCCTCCACCAGGGGCTGCAAGACTCGGTGCCACGCCAAGGAGTCGTGTTGTTCAGAAATGTGGCCGAAATCGACCTCCAGGCACGAGAGTAATGGCCATCCGCCCTCCGGAGCCAGCCCTCGGAGGGCGAAGAAGAAATTGTAGACAAGCTCTAGACTCTCGCTTCCAACTCGGATAGACTGCAAGTCGGAGAAAGTCGCCTGGAGCGATCTCCAAGCGGCAACGGGGGCGGAATCGGAAAACTCCTCGAAAACAAGCGTCTGTAGCGGTGCCGTACAGAATCCGTCGCACAACACGCCTATGACCGTGCTGAGCTGCGGGGGGAGCGGCCTGTAACTGATGACATGGAAGAACAGAGGCACACGTAATGCGTCCGCTTTGAACTGGATATTCCTGGGGTTCTGATGGGCGTTCGAGCAGATCTGGAAGTCCGACGGTTCATTCTTGGACACGTACAGAGCCTTGCATTTGGCGAGGACATGGCGGAGAGGCGGCGGGAACAGCAGCGCGGCTGAGTCGGCGATGTCGGCATCCGGAGGTATACAGGCGCTGATGTGGAGGACGCACAATGCCGGCGCGTCGATCCTCTGCAGGATCGGGGCGACGAAGGCGAGCTCGCCTTCGAGACGGACCGTCCTAAGTCTGGCTAACCGATACGGCGAGGTGGGGACATCATCGCCCGAGGTGGGAGTATCCTTCCTACGCAGCGAGCGTGACGTCAGGGTGCCCAAGACTGCCAGAGACTCGAGATAGGGAGCGCCGGCCACAACTTGGAGGAAATCGTCCAAGCACGCCTGCCGACCGTCATACCTCTCGGAGCTGATGTCGAGCTCGCGCAGTGCACTCCAGAAAGTTGGCGTAGAGGGCATCTTGATGTGAGAGGGCATAACGAGCCGACGAACACCGGGATGCAGCTTTTCCGACAGTCCCAGGTCGAACGGCGTGTCGAGTGGACGGCCGCGCAGCAACGGAAGCCCGCTTAGATCTATGCGCTCGAGCGCCGGGAGGGGAACCTCGAACAGCGGTTTTATGGCGGGCAGGTTGTCGGACTCGTAGAACCCTAGCGACCACTCGGGCATCTGGACGGAGCGGATGCTGCGCGCGTAGGGCAGCAGCAGAGGCACGGCTCTTTCGTTGGTTTCGGAATAGCTGGAAAATATGACATCGATGGTGCAGCCCACCGTGCGCGAGAGGCGGTACTGCAGAGCCTCCAGGTTACTGGTGACGCCGATCCTGCGCCATAACCACCGAGTCGAGAGACCGACGTTCCGCCAGTGCCGACACACCAGCATGAGCCGTGCCCATCCCATCCACGTCTTTGCGCCTTCGTCGGAAAATGGAATCAATCTCTGATAGGGGCCCACGAGAGAGAAGATGGTGGTTAGGAGCTCGGTGGGAAGACGGGCGATGGGAGCCGTCTGGATGATGGGCCCATCCAGAGGCGTCCGCGGAAATGGCTGCAGCGAGTGGTGAAAAAAGGCGGCGAGTGTGAGTAACAAGAATGGTCCAGAGGCATGAGTGGAGGCCGGTTATCCTTCTGTCCTCGACTGCATTGACTATGAAGACTCACCGTCGACGACTCAGGTTTGGAACGGGCCTCGCCCACTTTAAATTTCTTCCGCGGTGGTAGATCGTATTGCATGTAGTACGTGAGTGTTTAGAAGGGTTGTACGCGAAGATGGTGGTGGTTCGGATCCAAACTAATTGAGGCCGGAGCCTGAGCTGTTGTGCCACATATGTATACAAGCGCCCGTAAGACGAACCTTTGTCCAGCCGGCAAGCGCCTACCTCTACTACTATGTATGCGTGTCACTGAGAGGTCCCATGAGGTATGCGCCAACGACGTCGACTGCCTGAACATCCACAGTATGTTTCAAAAGCCGGCATCGACCAGGCCGCGCCGTCCCCACGGCGCAACGCCGCGGCAACGGACACTCAAATGTGGGCTAAGGCGTGAAACGTACCGTCAAGTGACCACAATTGCGAGCACCTGTGCCGTCCTCAGCAGCCTCGTTACAGCGAGAACTGTTCTCTACTAAGGGTTCATCAACAGCTCTGCCGTAGCCGCGGCGGGCGACAAGACAGATGCTCGAACTTACTTCACAATCCATCTTTTCACTGTATCTGGCGCAGTACTTAGGTCATTCTAATATGCACGGCGTGCTTGCTGTGCGCAGGCTCCGACCCATCGTCGCTCCGAATTGAAGGGTGACGATATTCTTAGAACGGGGAACGGGCTGATGAGCCACCGATCACGGTAGAATCGGCCTGAGGCCTGCATGTAGCCTCAACTGCAGGAGGGGCGGACGAGCACCCGAGTGAACCTTGTCTCAAAGATGGTGACGCACCAGGAACACTGCAACTAAGCCGGACTCCGCCATGGGCGACAAGGTATGGTATTTCACCATTCCGGAGACCGCCTTAAATACGGCATTGCATTTGAATTTGCGAACTTTTCAAGAGACTCGAAGCAGAGCATTGAGTCAGTCCCGGGCGATGGAGAAAATATTGTACTAACTTACCTTCGTTGTGTTCATGACCAAAAACGAGCTCTGTCGCGCACCTCTAACCTACGCAATTACACTCACGCTTACACGACTGAATTCCACTACATGTGCCTGGCGCATAGTGAATCCATTCGAATGGTACCATAGACGAACAGAAGGGCGAACAGATACGAGATAAGAGACAAAGACAACACGAGACTAGGAATCATACAATACAAGGCCGCCCTAACGCGGGGACCGCATAGACAGGGATACAACAACGTCGAGCTCCCCCCCAACCGTACTCTCCTCACGATATCGTACGACGTTGTACAACAACACCACATCGTCGAGACACGTGCACCACCCAGAGCCAATCATCACAAAAGACGCTTACTTGGCTCCTGCGCTCGAGAACTGCAGAAAGACTGGTTAAGGACGGGCGCGTGATAAGGGAGAGGGAAGACGAACCTTCGTGACAGACTTCGTGCCTTCCGAAATGGCGTGCTTCGCAAGCTCACCAGGCAGGATTAGGCGCACGGCCGTCTGGATCTCGCGTGACGAGATTGTCGACTTCTTAGAATACGACGCAAGCTCTGCGAAGGGACCCAATCGTCAGCAACCAAGCGTTGAGTGAAGGGAACGGCACACATACTCGACGCCTCCGTAGCGATACGCTCAAAGATATCGTTGACGAATGAGTTGAGAATCGCCATCGCCTTGTTCGAGATACCAGTGTCGGGGTGCACCTGCTTGAGCACTGCACGTGAAAATCTCATTGTCAGCACAAGGCCCTATCAACGCACAACCCGGGGCCCGATCCCAAACCAAGCACGCGTCATGCACCCGTGCACGGCCAACAACACATGCTGGGTGTGGTACTAAGATGCTGCTCACCCTTGTAGATGTAAGACGAGTACGTCTCCTTGCGGCCCTTCCTGCGCTTCTTCTTCTCGCCCTCGCCGCCTGCGCCAGAGCTCGCCGCCTTGGCGGTCTTCTTCGCACCCTTCGCACCGCCCTCAGAGGTCGTCTTTGCGGGTGCCTTGGAAGCGGTAGAGGCGGGGGCCTTCCCGGCGGTAGATGCGGGCTTCGGGGCCATTTCTAGGATTGGCTAAGTGGAAATGCGGCAATTGAGGTGCGGTTCGCGTGCAACTTGGAAGCGTATGCACTTTACAACTGTTCGAAGTGGTCGTAGTGTGAATGGGACGCGAGAGGACGAGGGGACAGTGGTGGTGTTCGGGAGGCAGCCCGCGCAAGCGGCGGAGTGATTATAAAGGGGCGCCACGGTTGTGTGCGGCTGTTTGGCGAGGGACGCGTGTCACGGGCGCGGAGGCGCACACGTGATGGCGCGTTGTTGAACCGCATTCAACAAGCCCGTCGCGATCACGCGCTTTGGCGGGTCGCGTCGCGCGTCGCGGTATATAAAGGGGGGCGGGGAGCCTGCGACCCGGTACGTCGTTCGCGTTGAGATCTCGCTTGTCGCCCTTTTGCGTCTTTGAGGTGAGTTCGCCGCTTTGTACATGAATTCATGTGGCGTGTGGGTATTTAAGGCGCATTCTTTCCTGCTGCAGGCACACCAAAACTTCACTCTCTCCAACTACCATCCTCAACCAACCACAATTGAACGACATGTCTGGCAAGGGCAGCGGCAAGTCAAAGTCCGGCAAGGCCTCCGCCGACGCGGCTGGCAAGTCTCAGTCTCGGTCAGCGAAGGCGGGTCTCCAGTTCCCCGTCGGTCGTGTCCACCGTCTCCTCAAGAAGGGCAACTATGCACAGCGCGTCGGTGCTGGTGCACCTGGTCAGTGGAACATCCTCTATACTGACCCTATCCCCCAAAGGAACCAGCAGCTGACTGGTTTTGCGTGTCACAGTCTACCTCGCAGCGGTCCTCGAGTACCTAGCTGCCGAGATCCTCGAGCTCGCAGGTAACGCGGCTCGCGACAACAAGAAGCAGCGTATTGTCCCGCGCCACCTGCAGCTCGCCATCCGGAACGATGAAGAGTAGGTGTATATGATTCGACTGACAGAATAGAAATACTGATGAGTCTGGCGCAGGCTGAACAAGCTCCTGGGCGACGTCGTCATCTCGCAGGGCGGTGTCGTGCCGCACATTAACCCAGAGGTACATCATCTTCCCTCTATAAGTTTGGGAGCGCCAGCTGACCGCGGGTCCGTTTCCCGCAGCTTCTTCCGTCGAAGACGAACAAAGGTCGCAAGAGCGATGCGTCGCAGGAGGTATGATGATGGTCTTCGCGTCAGGCCCTTGGGGTATCGTTTATGTCCGTGCTCCCTTTACGCGCTATGACTATGCGTCAGTAGGAGGCATCGGGGGTTGGCTGGTGGTGTGTACGATTATTGTATACTAGATTCCCTCTCCCTATTGGGCCAGGACAGTGTTGTTATCGATCAAGTCCACGTCAAGTCAGACTCGAAACAGTTTCGACGCCGTTGTGCGTCGCAGCCTCAACTCTGCGCTCCTCAGGCTTCCCACCAGAGAGCTTGCACCGGATGGGGAAGAACGTAGCTTGGGAAGAGATGACAAGTAGCACCCAACATGCGTCGGGGCTGTGCCCCATCAACTGACATCCAATCCTGTCTACCAGTGGCATGGCCGACAAGAGACAATTTGTCCTACTGAATCTCTACTATTTATGTATGTGTTTCCTCGATATCAAGTTTCGTTGGTCCCTGTCACACTGGAACTAGCGACGTTAATAACGACATCGGCGGCACTGTTCTCGTTGACTCCATTCTCTTTGCCAATGAAGATGTTCGATCCCGCCATGGCATCGTCGATATCCCCAGCCCTTCAAGATGAAGCAAGACTCAGTCTTCCGGGCCCCCAGGACATGATTGAAAGCGTACATACCCATTGGCGAGGTCAGCTACTCCGGGAACATCGACACCGTCTTCTCCATCCTTCTCGTGAGGTAACGCGAGAGGCCTCCACCTCGTCACGGTGGTGATACGTCTCGGCGGCAATACAGTGCTACAAAGCATGGCTAAGCCTGCCTGACCACAAGACTCTAGAACAGACGCACCTATTATAGCGGCTGCTATAAGAGCTTGATTGGGGCACTCTAGAAGGGGCGAAAGTATTGGGCGGCGGCCGCGGCACCTTGAACCTGTAAGCGCTAGGACGACGTTCAATGGTCCCGGGCGCACAACCTGAGAGGACTGAGGTGCGAGCGGCGACAGGGTTGCTAGTGGCGGCGAGAGTGGGAGCAGCGACAGAGTTGTCCGTGCCTGGAGCGGGGATGAGGCCTGAGGTCAAAGCTTTCAGTGCCGGGAGTAGGAGCAGCGACAGGGCTGCTACTAGTAGTGGCAGGGGGAGTCGCCACGGGGCTGTCAACAACGAGAGGAGGGCTGGCCGGGGGAGGGTTCTGGCTCTTGGTCTTCAAGTTTCGGCTCTTGATCTTGTACTGGCTCTTGGTTTTGCTCTGACTCCTGGTCTTGTTCTTGTCCATGACTCTACCAGCGAGGTGTAGTAGAGACTACAACGAGGTATGCAAACCTCTGGGATATCGGGCCAGAGAGGTATCAAACCTCCCAACCCACGCGGTCTTAGTGATACGCGTCGGTTAGAGTTTCGGTTAGGGTTTGGGTTTGGGTTTGGGTTCGGTTAGGGTTCGGGTTCGGGTTTGGGTTAGGCGCTATTCACACCTCCTCCTCCCCCAAAGGGGAGGCCGTCTGTATTTATCGCGCGAACGAGGCTTTAGAGTGCCCGCCTGAGTGCTCCCGGCTCGGGGGACCCCCCGAGCGCAGCGAGGGAGGGGAGGGAGCACGAATGGCGGGTCCTCTTCGCGCAAACCCTAAATCTGGCATCAAACGCCACAATGCTGATTGAGAACTTTGATCATCAAAACTAGCGCGCTGATGCGCCCGTGGTGACAGCGTCGGTGGTCTTTTGCGTCGCGCGTCCCCCACCCTCCTCACCCGCCACGCCTGCACAACACTCTTCACATGTTGGAAAAATGCTGCCTCGTCAACTACTGCGACCTCCTCAGAGGGAGTATGGTTTTTATTCGAGCTCCTTGAAGTT